AGCTCCACAGAGATACAGCCTCGGAAACCCAAGGACGGGTGGCTATGAGATGGAACCAACTCCATGGCAGTGAGGTTTTTTTTTTTTTTTTTTTTGGTATCGTTTTCCTAATAGTCATAAATGCTAGAGAAAAACAAGGAGTAAAATTTCATGTGTGGGAGGTGTCTAGTAGTTGAAAGAGTGACCAAAAAGGGCCTCATTAAGAATGTGAGTTTTGAGTAAATACCTGAAGAAACTGAGCTAGGATAAGAATCAGGACCTGAGCTTGTGTCAACTCTTTCCCAATTCATAGATCTTATCACTATTTCAGGAGCTCTGATAGCATAGTGCCTAAGGCAGTTGCCTGCTAACCAGAAGGCTGGCAGTTCAAACCCACCAGCCACTCTTCGGAAGGAAGATGAAGCAATCTACTTCCATAGTGATACTGCTTTGGAAACCCAAGGAGGGGTCGCTATGAGTCGGGTCTGACTCGACGCCACATAACAACAACGTCACTATTTCATGCTGGTTTTTTATTTTAATGTTAAGACTCATTACTGTTTTGAAGAACAAGTAGCTGCCAGAATTACAGATCAGATAAGATTTTGAAAACTCAGTAGATTTTTGTGGGGAATGATGACAACTTTGAAAACTGCTATCCTAAGAACATAGTAGGGCAATGTAGAGTCTGACTTTTATTTGTTTGCCTGTTTCAGCTGGTGTGCTCTGTAATTCATGTCAAACTTGCTTTTTCAGAAAATCTTGGGATCTGACCGAGCCTTTAACAGTCATCTCCAGTACTTTGGGAGGTCCTTAGATGGTTATGGAGATTTAAATGGGGATTCCATCACTGATGTGTCCATTGGTGCCTTTGGACAAGTAGTTCAACTGTGGTGAGTCAGCGAGGGATGGAGACAATCTAGCTGACAAAAAGAACGTGCTGAAAAGTAAAACAAACTTCTGGGGCTGCCGTGTGTTAATGCCACGTGAACTATATGAGACTCTAGGGCATGGATATGTCATAGTTTTCATAAAGGAAGGGAAGATTTTCCTGGGGGGAAAAAATACATTCACTTAACATTAGAATCATGTTTCTCTTCTCTAAATGATGAACACCAAAATTACATAGAAAAGACTAACACAACCCTTGAAATTACATCTAAAATATTTGTGGATATAATCTTCCAAATAGCCTTATCTCAGTCTACTATAAGGAAGCTTTGTGAGAGTGTACTGAAAATGGAATATACTCAGACCACACAAGTAAAATGAAACTTCTTATATCGTTGTTGTTGTTAGCTGCTGCTGATTCATGGTAACTCCAAGCACAACTGAAACTCACAACTGAAACAATGGAAACTCATCCCCATGATGGGTTGTACATCACACCATTAGGAAAAGGAAGTCATTGTTTAGACTAAGCTGACTTTTTAGTGACCTCAGTAGGAGTTGAAGAACAGGGAAACAATAAGACATTTAAGAACTATAAGATTCAGATATCAAAAATAAATATATTCTGTTGATAAGAGAATGGAATCAAAGTAAATTAAAATTTAGATCAAAGGTCCCTAAGAAAATATAGGTCAATTATTCATTCGTCTCTCTTGAAAATGTGCTTAAATGTCAAAATACATCAAGAATCAAAAAACATTTTACGCTAAGGTAGTGTAATTTCTGAGTTTAATGATTTACAATATCCCCTTTACAATCCTATTTACTATATCCTTTTCATGTTTTTGAAAGATGAAATGCATTGTTTATTGCAGAATGTGGAAAAAATAAAACCCAACAGTAATATTTAAGATTTTCAAAAATAAGAAAACACATTTACTGAATAAACTTAGTTTAAATCAGTTAAGAGTAACCTACTTTTGGAAAAATACAAGGTGTAGTAATTTAATAATATGACTGGTTTTAAAACATTTTACAAGAAACCATATCTCTTGGTGAACATTGCTAAAGTCAGTGATGGCCAAACTATTCTTCTTTGAAGTTGGATTTAATTCTTCAAAAAGCCAATCTCATGGAGTCAAATCACCTTTGTAGGTGAGCAGCCACACGAGCTTAATGCCATTTTGTGCCTGCATTTCTAAGAGGTGCTAAGGCTGTGTTTCTGCTAATTTCCTAAGAATAATTTTTTAAAAAAAGATTTGCAGAACATTTAGCTCAATGACATCTGTAGTGAATAAGCATTCAGACTCACAAAGATATTGCCCTCACTTGGGCATTGTAGATCTTATTAGTTTGAGGACATATTACATTTGTTAGTAAATGTTTTATGACTGATTGTTAGGGGGGTTAATTAATACATAATTAACTACTGATATGATTTTTCAATTGATTCAAGTTCTTCAAGTGGTAACGGAAATATGTTTCTATATCATGTTGTGGTACTTTAAAAAAAAAGAGAGATTACTTCCTACCTGCTACTTCGTAAATAGTTTAGGGTGTGTACAAGGAGCCATTAAGATAGAGTGAAAATTCCACTGGCCATGGGTTCTAATTTCTTACATGCTATTTACTCAGCAAACTGGTAAGTCACCAAATGTCTTTGTGTCTCAGACTTTTTCATTCACAAAATGAAGATATTGTTGTTGTTGTTGTTAGGTGCTGTTGAGTTGGCTCTGACTCATACTGACCCTGTGTACAACAGAACAAAACACTGCCTGGTCCTGTGCCAGTTTCACAATCCTTGCTATACCTGAGCCCACCATTGCAGCCACTGTGTCAATCCATCTCGTTGAGGTTCTTCCCCTTTTTTTGTTGACCCTCCACTTTACCAATGATATCCTTCTCCAGAGAATGGTCTCTTCTGACAACATGACCAAAGTAGTTAAGACAAAGTCAGGCCATTCTCGCTTCCAAGGAACATTCTGGTTGCCCTTCTTCAGGACAGATTCGTTAGTTCTCCTGGCAGTTTATGGTACTTTCAGTATTCTTCACCACCACTACAACTCAAAAGCATCAACTCTTCTTCGGTCTTCCTTATTCATTCTCCAGCTCTCATATCTGTAAGAGGCAACTAAGCATACCATGGCTTGGGTTAGGTGCACCTTAGTCTTCAAAGAGACATATTTGCTCTTCATCACTTTAAGGGGACCTTTTGCAGCAGATTTGCCCAGTGCAATAGGTCATCTGATGTCTTATCTGATGAAGATATTAGTTTCACCTATTTCACAAGAGTGTTGTAAAAAGCAAATGAGGTCATGTGTATGGGAAAGTCCTTGAAATACCTAAATTGCTGAGCCAGAGTCAGAATCCTGTAGGACCCTCCCTGAGAGGGACTATTCAGCCTTTTTTTGCCATTGGACTAGTTGCCATTACCACACTCACCCCTTCTTTCATGGTCACATGCTACACTTCAAAGAATTGCTCCCAGCTACTGGAACAGTAGGAAATAGCCACAAATACACTCCTCAACACCATCACCCTCGCCTTCTCACTTTTTCTCTCTCCTACTTTTGAGATTAGAGTGAATGTCACTTCTTCCAATTGGCCAAATGTACCAGGGACCATGACTTTCATACATCACTTGCAAATAGGTTGCAGGCTCCCATTTTGTGTGTTCACATGATGATTTTTCCATTTAAAAATATCTATTAAATGTAAATTGTACTGGTGATACAACTACAAATGAAAAAGACATTGTCCCTGCAGTCTTAGCACTTTCAAATATAAAATACTGCTAAAGGGCTTGGAGAGTCAGCCCCAGGGTTACAGGTGAGGAGAGACAACTCAGGGACGCCCAAAGTAGCA